GGCCAAAAAACACAAAAAATGCTCACCATCCCTGGCCATTCAGGAAATGCTAATGAAAAACCACACTGAGATTCCACCTCACCCCTGTCAGAATTGCTACCATCAAGAACACCAACAACAACACATGTTGGCAAGGATATGGTGAAAAGGAACCCTCATATACTGCTGGTGGGAATGTAAGCTAGTACAACATTCCATAATGTACACTTTACAGAAAACAATATGGAAATTTCTTAAAAAACTAAACACAGATCTGCCATATGATCCAGCAATACCACTCTTAGAGATATACCGGAAGGAATGTGACTCAGGTTATTACAAAGGCCCTTGCACACCTATGCTTATTGCAGCATTATTCACAATAACCAAGGTATAGAACCAGCCAAGATACCCCACTACCGAAGAATGAATTAAGAAAATGTGTTATTTACACACAACAGAATTTTATTCAGTCACAAAGAAAATTGAAATTTTGTCTTTCTCGAGTAAATTATTAGAACTGGAGAATATCATCTTAAATGAAGTTAGGTTCAAAAGACCAAAAATCACATGTTCTCCTTCATATGTGGATGATAGACCTGAAGCAAATGCAGAAATATTATTGGATGTGGGCATACACTAAGGGGAGAGAGTGCACAGGAGAATAAGGAAAGGGAAGGAAACCTAAAACTTGATTTTGGTTGATATACTCACTGTATAGAAGCAAATATAGTAATCATATGCTGGCAGAGACTATTGTGGGAAGGGGCCTAGAAAGTAGTGAAGAGGTCTGGTAGAGATGAACCAATGTGAGTTGCAATACACATATGCATGGTAACAATGCTAGGAATCTCTCTGTATAGCTATGTTTATCTCAAACTAGCAAAAATGCTATGTTTTTCTTATTATCTCTTATGTTTTCAGTTTGACAAAATTGGAGAAAAGGATGAAACAGGTTCTGCCCAGAGAAGGGAAGAGTGGGAGTTAGCCCAAACAATGTGTACACATGTAAGTAAATGTAAAAAACAATACAATAAAAATAAACAAATAACTTCATCCAAAAGAAAAAAAATCCATATCAAGATGGCTTCAATGTTGAATTTTATTATTAAAAGAGAATCAACAGACCCAAACATTGTATGCACATATGAATAAAAGAAAAAAAAAGAATCAACAGTAATCCTTCATGAACATTTCCAGAGGCAGTTTCACAACTTTTTGTGTGAAACCATTATTCTGATACCAAAACCACACAAAAGTATTGTAAGGAAAGAAAACAATACTTTTATGAATATAGGTGCATAAATTCTCCATAAAAGGCTAGTATATTTCATTCATTAGTTTATAAAAACTTTTCCTCATTATGACCAGTGGAGCTTGTACCAGGAATGGAGGTTGTTTCAATATATAAATACCAATCAATATAATATATCATATTAATTGGATAAAGGAAATAGTGTACAGTAATGCTAGTTTCTATTGATAACTGCTATTACTATACATTTTCTGCTTCTCCATCCACTGCATAGCCATACAAGCAATATAGCATATACATGTTTTAACTTTTATGCTATGTGATTTACACAACATCCTGTCCTCCAGACTGCAGAATAACTGCTGTACTATGAGCTTGTAAGATGTGTGCACATATTGGCTGTGCAAATCTCCACTGTTCTTGGGATACTATGTGTGTAGAAAATTTAAAATGTGTTTTCTTGGTGAGCCTTCATCAACTGAATATACAGTGAAATTCCTGAAGTTCCGAAAATTTCAATGGGAAGGCATCAAAATTAGGAAAAATTCATTTGGTTTTTGCATTGGGAAAGCTAAGGATTTTATCCTCTATTTACCTTCCAACTTGTAGATATTACACTACCCTGAAAGTGCATCAAAACCAAAGGTTCATTCCTCTGGACAGAATATGTCCTAATGTGTTTATGGTAAAGTTGATAGACTTAGTATCTCAATCTTTTTTATGACTTCAGACAGTGAGGAAATTTCCTCAGGGATATGACCTCAGTGAAACTCCGGGTTGTTAACTGCATGACATTTAGAGCCCTTCATGTCCCACTTCACAATCCTCAAGGGCTTAGTAGAGAAGCATTTTGTCATATAATATTCCAGATCATAAAATATAGGTTTTTACCAAGTTAGTTTCAACTGTAAGAAAAAAACTAATTAGTTGACTTATAGGTAAATACTTCAAAATATCTGTTTTTTAGTTACAATCTTTAAAAAAATCCAGAGTTAATTAATTCCTTGGAGGCAAAGCCTTAGATAGAATATGTCCTTTAAAAATATTCTCAGTATCCTCTCTATCCTCCATGATTCCAGAAGAATGTTTTCTTATGTTACAGACAGAATTGGGGGGGTATTAAGAGGTAAAACATTTGTGTCTATTTTTCGATAACTCTTGATCTAAGTTCAGAAAATCAGAAGAATCTCTTTAGTATCTGAAGATTTGATTCCAAATTCAACATAGCATTTTATTTTTCCTTTTGTAAATATTTCAATATGGGTTACAAAGGTCTTGGAGCTTAATGCTGGCTGAATCCATTTTAAGAAATTTGTGCAATTTTGTCTTTTTCTGCTTCCTGTAATATTGTGTCGTCAGTAGGGATTTGGGAAATACACATTGCATAAAGTGGTGTTTGAATAGCTGCTTGTAAGGATTACTTTGTGTTTTTGGCTACATTGCACAATCTTCTCAACTACAGAGACAGCCACAGTAAGTTATCTAGAATTGCTGACTTTTAATCTTATTTCTTAAATTTCCATTTTCCCCTTAATGTGTTTGCAATTAAAATTGTGGAAGCATTATTTTCTGATCATTTTCAGATGCTCTAGGATATTTTGTGGAAAAAATTTTATTGATATATGTTAATAAAAGAAAAATAAATATTTCTTATCCTAACTATGTTCTTTTTAACAGTATATCAGGAAAAGTTTTGCAATTTATGGAATTGCAAAGCCAATTTCTAGACTTTTAGGTGGAGTCTCTGGCTGGATCACTGAGAGTTTCTTCCCCGATAAGGTGTGTGATGTGGTGGTTTGGATCATCAGAATGGTACATGTACAGTCACTCATTTCCTTGAAACAATGCTCTGCCTTAATAATTCCCAGGGATGAAAGAGAAGGAAGACAGCACTTTATACTCAGAGGAGGAGATATGAAAAGCAACCAGAATAAAAAAAGGCAAATAAGAGGTAGAGCTGAGATAAGGTATGTGATCTTACTATAGTGAAGACAGTTCAGCATGGAAGAAGAGGAACGGCATTTGAATTGTTTTTCAAGGAACTTCTTCAACTGTGAAAGTGAGATACCAAAGAGGAATGCATTCAAAATATAGACTCTGTAAGGGAAGAGTGCATTTCTGCTGTGACTGGGAATCTATATTAAAGTCCAGGCTCAGGGACACTGCTTATTTTGACGTTATCAAACTTTGTCAGATATTATTTTAACCAGGGGACAGCTTGTTTAGGCTGCAGTGGATCTGATACTAGCAATGTGACTGAGTTTCTGCACCTTTCAACTCAGGTCTACCCCTTTTGGAGAATAAAGATAGGTATTATATGAATATAGAGGTATTATATGAATAGAAGTGTATCAACTTTTTAACGTTATAAAGATTCGATGAAATCATCTTTATAAATTTTTGTATAGTGCTGAGTATATGGAAAGCAGTCAATTGAAATATTACATAGGAAGTAGGTGATGAACAAGTATGCCTCTGCAGTTATTAAGAATGGGGAAAAGCAGAATTACAGTAGAGGTTTCATTTCAAAATGTTTGAGTCTGTGGAATTTAAATAAGTAATGATGTTTCCTCTGTCTGGGAGGAAGTTTGTCTTTTTAGATCCTTGCCACTAAATTGTACTCTGAGAGTCCTTTTATGGAGATCAGATGTTTTCCTGCAAAAAATATGGGTATTAGAAGATTTGCATGTTAATGGGTACACTATTGATCTTTGCACTGGGACAGAAAAAGAAACTGATTTTGTGCTTGAGACTGGCAACGGCAAAGACATCAATTTTAACTAAAGACTGGGTCGTTTTGTTTATGTTTGTGTCTGTGCAGTGCAAGGAAATTAGAGGAAGATGAAAATTGTAGAAGAAACTTGTTCTTTAAATATGTTCAGAATACTTCAAGATTTGTGAGAAATTGAACTAATTAAGTGAATTAATGGAGATGAATGAGTCAGTATGGGGTTTTCTAGACTAGTTTTGATCATGAAATGTAACCTCTGGCACAGACCTTCAGGAAGCGGTAAAAACATTTTAGTCCATTGTTGGTTCTCCCAAGGGCTGTCTTCTCTAGGGAAAGTTTGCAATTAGAAGTTCACTCAGTTTTGTTCTCACAGGGCTATGGTCCCTGGAAGGATTCTCTGACACATTGGGTTCTCCAGAAGGGAGCTACGATCCTGGCCATGGAGCTCCACGTACAGTTTCTCAATGAAGCATTCAGGGGATCTTTTGGAATAGATGTCCTTTATATGCAAATGGTTATATGTTATTCTTAAATGTAATGGGAGCAATTCATTTTACACTTACATTTTAAAATTAAAATTTGAGGTACTGGAAAAAGTGAGAATATTTTTCTTTTTTTACATACGAGGTATTGAATCCAGGGTCTCACACATGCTAGGAAAGAGCTATTATTTGAGTTCTACCCCATTCTACTTGGTTTTTTTTTTTTTTTGAGATTAAAGTCTCAGCACTTTTTTTTTGACCTGGGCTAGCTTTGAACTCATGATTACTATCTCCACATCTCAAGGAACTTAATTACAGGTATGTGTCACCATGCCTGTAATTAAGTGAGAATTAATAATGACAAAACAGTTAAAAAACTATTTCAAAGTTTGAGTGATATGTACATTCTTCATCAAGTAAATGAAAATAGATTTTGTATTAAATGGATTGTGATTGATTATTCTGTCTTTTGAATTATTTTGATTCTTTTTTTTCTTTTCCTTTTCCTAAAGGTGAATAAAATATTCCTACCTGGAGTATTTTGTTTAAAATCAACCCCACCACCTAGATGGAGAATGAAAGAAACGTGACTGAATTTATTTTAATGGGTCTTACACAAAACCCCCAAATGCAGAAAGTAGTGTTTGTGACATTTTTGGTTCTGTACATGATAACGTTATCAGGAAATCTTCTCATTGTGGTCACCATTATCAATAGCCATGCCCTAAATTCCCCCATGTACTTCTTCCTGAGTCACCTTTCTTTGATAGATACAATTTATATGTCTTCTTCGGCTCCTAAGCTGATCATGGACTCCCTGCAAGAGAAGAAAGTCATCTCCTTTAATGGATGTATGGCTCAAGTCTATGCAGAACACATTTTTGGTGCTGTTGAGATCATCTTGCTGACAGTGATGGCCTATGATCGCTATGTGGCTATCTGTAAACCTCTGCACTATCTGACCATCATGAACCACAAGCTATGCTATGCATGCTCTTGGTGGGAGTAGCTTGGACTGGAGGATTTCTCCATGCAACTATCCAGACCCTCTTCACAGTCTGGCTACCGTTCTGTGGCCCCAACGTCATAGACCATTTTATGTGTGACTTGTACCCTTTGTTGAAACTTGTCTGCATGGACACTCATACTCTTGGTGTCTTTGTTGCTGCTAACAGTGGGTTCATCTGCCTATTCAACTTCCTCCTCTTGATGGGATCCTATGTGGTCATCCTGCGTTCCTTAAAGAATTGCAGCTTAGAGGGGAGGCGCAAAGCCCTCTCTACCTGTGTGTCTCACATCACAATAGTCGTCTTATCCTTTGTACCCTGCATATTTATGTATCTGCACCCGGTTACCACTCTGACCATAGATAAAGCTATTGCTGTCTTTTATACTATGCTGGCTCCTATGTTAAATCCTTTAATCTATACCCTCAGAAATGCTGAGGTAAAAAAGGCAACTTTTTTTCTGGAGAAAAAAAGTGACTTTAGATAATAATTAAGCAGAACCACTGAACATTATACATAGAGGTACTAAGTGTCATGTAGCCCAAAATTTTTGATTTATACATGAATACATCAACTCTCATAAGAAGTTTGATATTATTAGCAGACAAATACTTTAACATAAAGTTAAAGTTAGGCTGCAGTTCAGACTTACTGTCTCCCAGTCCACACTTTGTTATTATACCTTATTGCTTCTTAGTCATTAAATATGCATAAATTACTAGTAATTAGAAATATTTCTAGAAGCTAAAAGTACTTTTTACCTTGAATAGTGGTTTGATATTAAGATAATCTTATATAACATTGAGATGCTCTTTATAACTGATTATTGAAAACAACATGTTTAATGATATCCTTTTACTTTGTACTCTGTCCTCTACAAAAATTCTTTCCCTTGTAGATTTTATTGTTCATTAACTATACTATTGGATGCATAGTTGAACAGAGACATGGTTTATCTAATGTTTATAAAGCTAGTATTTTCTTCCATATTGTATCAGTCATGGTCTAAGCAGGGCCCAGACCACACAGCTTCCCTAATTTGAAGGGAAAATTTACATACAAGTATTAATCTTATCAGGGGGTTAATGGTAAAGAAGAATGCCCTGTGCTTGAAAGATGATTATCTAAGAAAGGTATTCCCAGGTTGCTCCCTGGGAATCTAATACTATGGAAAGTTGTAGTTATTTTTTATTGATTGGTGGAGAAGTTCATTCACAGTAGCTGGACAGAGCTGTATACAAGAATCTTGTCTGGTACTACATGCTGAGAGCCTCCCACTGGAATAATGGAGGAGGGACTGAGGCTGGTGGACAAGGAGCTGTGGCCTGGAAAGCAGGTTGAGGTACAGATGTCAATAAAACTCAATGGAGCACCATGGGACATCTCCCCCTGCCACCCAAGCACACACGCTGTTGGAAACTACATAGTCAAAATAAGATGGAAACAGAAACCCCTTTAAATCAGGAGGATCTGCCCTTTGTGCATTATACTGATAAAGATTAACACCATAACAGAGCAGGTATGGGAAAGAAATGTTTACAGGGTCCATTTTCATTAACATGAAGCAAGCAATGAATGTATTTGAATGTGAGAGGCAATGAGTTGACAACTTTTACACAAGTTTAACCCAAAATTCTTACAACATACTTTCCAGGCTATTCAACATGGCACTATTTGATCAAATCTCATAGTGGTAGAACTGAGACATAAACTAATATATGAATCCTTTTCTTATGTATTTTCTGCTTATTACACAGTGCTAAGTAAAAATTACATGGCTTTTGTGTTATTAGGTAGTTGCAAGTTTTATGGTAATGCCTGAAAATGAATAAGAAGAACAAAATTTGTTAAAAGATCCATGATATTTTATTTTATGGTAATTTAATATAATTTTATTTTTAGGTATATGCTGGTTTCTATAAATACTCTCACTGAAAACAGGAGGATGAATCATTACTTGAAGGTGATTTTTTAGAAGAGATTTAAATATTAATCTTTTCAGGTTTTTAACTGAATTTTAGGGCCAGTAAGGGTAACACTCATCCAAATGGGAAAGAACTAGTCTCTGCTCTTTTAAGAAAAATGTTGATGAGTCTATAGAAGTCAGATTTCAGCAACCTATTGGTGGCAGGAAAGTAATAAGTCAAAGATATGGACAAAAATGAAATTGAAAGCAACCAGGGACAAAACTAGAATTGATTTCAACAGATGAATGAAACTTCTATCAGACAAAATGTGAAATCACATGTAAGTCACAAGACGGATTCCTAACACCTAAGAAATTCCAGAATGATGGGTAGAAAATGCTGCCTTGAGAGATTCCTAGGGCACAACTTTAGAGTTCTTTTTAACTCATCCTAAGGTTGTGAGGAAATGAACACAGATGCTCAGACAGTTTGGATAAAGGAGGTCAATGAAGCTGGTGATGTTTGTGAAACATTGCATGTGAATTTTCCTTTGAGCAAGTGAAAATGGCCCTGAAGATTGTCTCTAGGTAAACAGCCTTAATAAATGATGATCTTTATGTACATTGCACTTCATTGTTCATGTTAGCTTATCTCCATTTCATGCAATTCCTGTTCCTTTGTATTACAGTGCAAACTTAATTTCCATGAAACATGATAAAAAGCTGCTATGTTAGCTTACATTGCCATCAACTGTCAAGCTGCACTCAATTTAATCTTCTCATTAACAGTTTGAATTTGTGAAGCTATTAATCACAAACATTGATACTTTTAAAATAAAAATCAAATACAAGTTATAAAATAATCACATCTTACAATTTTAACTTTGCTGAGTCATTATTGACAAAATTGTGTATTTAAGCTGTACAACATGATGTTTTCTTTTTTGCAGTGAAAGTGATAGTAAAGTTTATTAGGAAAAAAATATACTTTCAATAGACTGAAAGTAAGTCATCTCCAGACAGAATGAATATGACCCATCATGATGTTTTGGTACATGTATACTTTGTGAAATGATTGCTACAATCAAGCTAATTAGCATATCCATCACCTCACATGATTACCATTTTGTTTTTGGTAAGATTTAAGATCTATTCTCTTAGCGAATTTCAAATATACATTACACTGTTATTAAGTATAATCTTCATAATGTGCATCAAACCTCTAGAATTTGTTCATTTGTCTAAAGACCAATAGCTTCCCATTACCCTTTTCTCTCAACCCTTGGTACTCCATGAATGACATTATTTAGTTTCCACAGATAAGTGAAATCATGTAGTATTTGTCTTACAGTGATTTATTTCACTTAGCATAATGTCTCATAGGCTTATCTATATTGCTGAAAATTTCCTTCCTTTTAAAGGCTGAATAGCAGTTTAGTGTGTGTGTGTGTGTGCGTGTGTGTGTGTATTAATCACATTTTCTTAATCCTTTCATCAATTAATGAGCACTTAGATGATTCAATATTTTGGCTACTTTGAATAACACTGAAATAAAAATGAGGTGATAGACATGACGTTGAAATAGTACTTTCATATCGTTTGGATGTGTACCCTGATTTGGGATTGCTGAATCATATAGGAGTTTTATTTTTATTTTTGTTTACAGAGTCTCTTTACTGTTTTCCATATGGTTGTAATAGTCTACATTCCCAAGAATAGCTTTCATGTGTTCCCTTGCCACCACATCCTTGCCAACACTGATGTCTTGATAATAGCCATTCCAACAGATGTAAAATGATATCTTATTGTGATTTTGATTTTCATTTTTCTGATTATTAGGGATGTTGAATATTTTCCATATACCTGTTAGTCATTTCTATGTGTTTTTTTGAGGGATGTCTTTAACATGTCTTTTTTGTATTGTAAAATATTGGACTGTTTTCTTGTTATTGAATAGAGTTTCTTATGTATTTTGGATATTAGGCCCTTGCCAGATACATTATTTGCCTATATTTCCTCTCATTATATAGGTTGTCTCTTTACTGTGCTTTTTTTCCCTTTCCTGTACTGAAGCCTTATAGATTGATGCCACCCATTTGTCTAGTTTTGCTTTTGTTAAATAATTTAGCACAGTAAATCTGAGCATAGTATATCTTTTCATTCTGTTATAGTTTCTTGAGTATTTTCTTTAAATGTCTTTGAGTTACTACCCTTTCTGAATCTTTTCACTCTCATTGTCAGTAGAGATTTTTGAGCTTTACAGCTAAGGGGAACTCAATGGACTGGTTGGCATCTGAAAGGATATGAAATCATCTTGCTGGGGAAGCATAATTATTTTTCTTCTCCTTCTTTGAAAGATCTTTCCCTTTGATGCTAGTTTTCTTCCTTGTTTACACAAGTTCAACAAAGATATTTGAAAGTCTAGTGAACATTCATGGTTTTGAATTGGTCTTTAAGTATACTGACTTAAAACCACTGGATTGTTGAAGTAAAGGCTTGGTTTTTTTTTCTGCTGTATACAATGACTGAAAGGGAAGAGTAGCTATCAAGAGAATTGTTCTTATTGAGTCTCAGAGTATCGAACATGCTCTCTGGGAAATCAAAATTATTAGAAGACATAATCATGATAACAGTGTGAAAGTACTTGAAATTTTTGCTCCTGGTGGAAACCAGTTGACAGATGATGTAGAATTTCTTACCAAATTCAACAGTGTTTACATTGTGAAGGAGAAATGGAGAAAGACATGGGTAATGTGCTGGAGTAGGTCTCACTACTGAAATTGCATGCCAGAGTTTTCATATATCTGTTGTTACATGGGCTCAAGTATATACAATCTACAAATGTATTGCAAAGAGACATCAAACCTGGTAATCTTTTCATTAATAATGAAAACTTTAGGAGATCCAAGATGGTGGTTAGGGTGGGAATCAAAATTCCTGAGCTCTGTGACTCCAGGAACCACCTTAAGATGTGGGAGCTATACTTGAGTAATTCTGATTGCTTCTATCCAAAATAATAACCACCAACACATTAGGCACATGTAAAATTCAAGAACTGATCCTTAAAACAGCCTTTAATTAGACCTACCACCCAGGAAAATCCTGGCATGGCACAGCCAACAGGTGTGTCTGCCTTGGAAAAAAAGTCCCCTGTCTTAAGCAGAAGATAAAGCATCAACCAGAATTGAGCTCTGTGACATCCAGGACCCCTAACCATGAAATGCCTCCCTACACCCTGCTGCACCTAGTCTAGTCCCAGGAAGTGTCTACCTTGAGAAAAGCAGCATGCATGTCTTCCTACCTGGTGGTTTCAAAGCTGCCTGCATAAACCTGCAGACCAAACAAGTGAGTAACACAGCATATGCGATTTTCTTACCCTCCCAACTGAAATATAATCCAGTGCAGCCTCTGGGTAGATTGAACCCCATCCCAACAAAATTGAAAAGCATAAATAACAAACTGTAATCTAACACTGACAGCAGGGGTGGGGCAGAATGTTAAGTCTGCCCCAGAAAACGGGGGTGGGACAAGGAGCCAAACTCATTGTGAGCGGAGATGGGAAGGCTGAGAGTGGGGCTGGGTTGACAG